CCTATTTTTTTCTCTGCAGTGAACACCATCTGGGCGTCCTCTAACCCAATTCAATTCTGATGTTATCCGCCTGGAGATAACATTAGATCCCACAAGTTGAGATCTCTGTCCCATAAGACTGCCCCCATTCCAGACACCAGTAGCAAGTTTCGGCCTCTGGAACTTCTGACCAACTGGCTTCAGGTTGGGGTTCCCACAACCCCTTATTCAGGCTTAATTTGCTAGAGTGGCTCAAAAAACTCAGGGACATATGTGTACTTGCTTATTATAAAGAATATTTTAAAAGATACAAGTTAGCAGTCAGATGAAGAGATACATAAGGTGAGGTCTGAAAGAGTCCCGAGCACGGGAATTCTTGTTCCCCTGAAGTTACAGTGTACCGCCCTGCTGGCTTCTTGTTTACCTTCTTGCAGGCTTCCATGAGTTCAGCTGTCCAGAAGCTCTCTATGTCCCAACCCCTTGGGCCTTTTATGACGATGTCATTAGATAGGCAGCGCTACTGGACAATCATGTAGAAATGTAACGCGATTGGACAGAAAGGGTATGATCTAACACCACTAGACTGAGTAGGGAAACCCAGCAAGCCCTGACTATTCAGAGTCTTCTTGGCTTTTCTGTGCAGCATTTCTTCATCTTGGGTATGGGGCAGGACCCCTTCTGAATTGGGGCCTTATTGAGGTAGGAGACCCACATGATTTATTTCCCTGATCCTGACAGATTAAAGTTAAGAAACTGTCAAGAACCAGCAGATGGCGACAAAAGTGATCGCTAGCCACTCTCGTTGCTCATTAGTATAAGACACTCACACCAGCGCCACAACGGTTTATAAAATGCCATGGCAATGGCCCAGAAGTTACTCCTCCTTTCCCAGAAAGTTCTAAATAACCTACTCCTCAATTTGCATTAACCCACTCCCTAATTTGTGTGTAACTGAAAGTGAGAATAAGTGAGTATAAATACAGTTGCCAAGAGCCCATATGTTGCCGGCTCTGGGTGCAGTGCCTCTGATTTAGCCCTGCCCCACGAAGAGCAGTACTGTTCAAAAACAGACTGTTGCCTAACACCACTAGCTCACCCTTGATTTCTTTTCAGGGTGAAGCCAAGAAGCCTCCCAGGCTAAGCCCCCAGTCTGGGTGCTTACCAGTCCTGCATCATTGTGACCTACACTCAGACAAGGTCAATCTGAGAATTTACTTATGGCCATCTCCAAGTCAGAAAGGCAGGGGAAAACTAGAGTATATTTTTAGTTTCTGTGGCCTGACTTGGAGAGGAAAAGAAGTAGGTGAAAGGAGAGCAAGAGCAGGTCAGAAAGGGAAATTCTGTTTCCTGAGGCCTGCTTCTGAGGCCTGAAAGTGCCCCAACATATAGGGAAAGACAGTCTTTTATGTTTATAATTCTGAAGCTGTTCTGAAACAAAAGGCCAAATACTTTAATAAAAAACATGCTTATTGTTTTAGTCACTTAGGAAATAACCATGACTATGGGAATTATGAGCCCAAAACCACAGATGAATATGTGTATCTCACAGTACATGTAATTATCTATCAAAGAAAGGCTTTATGCAAACCTTTTTTTTTTTTTTTTTTTTTTTTTGAGAGAGACCTGCCTCAGCCTCCCAAAGTGCTGGGACTACAGGCGTGAGCCACCACACCTAGCCTTTATCCACTTTGTTAAGGAAAGAGTGAGTCTCTGACTCAACAAAAAGCTCAGATAAACCAATGGGGCTTTGGCACATTAGGTCAGCAGAGGGGAAAAGGCCAGTAGAAAGGACAGCAGTACGCAGTAAACGTGGAAGCAACCAGGAGAGAAGGAAGGAGACACAGAAGTTGGAGCCAACTGGACTTGTTCTTAAACACAGTTTAGATAACCTGTAGACACACCTATGCCTGACGATATTCAGAAATAAAATCATTAAGAATTTCAACACAAAGACAGCAGAGCATTAAACCAGGAGTAAGACTCTTCTGGGCCGGGCGCGGTGGCTCAAGCCTGTAATCCCAGCACTTTGGGAGGCCGAGGCGGGCGGATCACAAGGTCAAGAGATGGAGACCCTCCTGGTCAACATGATGAAACCCCGTCTCTACTAAAAATACAAAAAATTAGCTGGGCATGGTGGCGTGTGCCTGTAATCCCAGCTACTCAGGAGGCTGAGGCAGGAGAATTGCCTGAACCCAGGGGGCGGAGGTTGCGGTGAGCCGAGATCGCGCCATTGCACTCCAGCCTGGGTAACAAGAGCGAAACTCCGTCTCAAAAAAGAAAAAAAAAAAAAAAAAAAGACTCTTCTGACATCAGGGCCCTGTGCAACAGCACCAGTCATATACCTATGAAGCCATCCCTGGCTGTGTGTGTTGGCTGATAACAACTTACATCTTTTCTGGGGGGAAGTGGGGATACAAGGTCTCACTCTGTTGTCCAGCCTGGAGTGCAGTGGTGCAATCATAGCTCACTGCAGCCTCGACCTCCTGGGCTCAAGCAATTCTCCCACCTTAGCTTCTCAAATAGGTGGGACCACAGGTGTGTGCCACCACACCCAGCTATATTGTGTGTGTGTGTGTGTGTGTGTGTGTGTGTGTGCGCGCGCATGGAGATGGGGTTCTCCCTATGTTGTTCAGGCTGGTCTCAAACTCCTGGGCTCAAGCAATCCTCCCACCTTGGCCTCCCAAAGTGCTGGGATTACAGGTCATACAACTCACATTTTACCCCTTCCCCAGAGAATTGTTCTCTGCCAAATGGGCAGAGAACCACCCTTTCAGAACCGCCTTGCTCCAGAGACTATGCTCTGTTCCACCTATAGACGTTGATCTATGACTGACACTGAGATACAAAAAGCCAGTGACTTACTGTCAAGGTGGGATGACTTGTGTGTGCTTCCTAGATTTCAGGTGTGATGAACTAAACCTAATCTCTAGTTAAACCCCATTCTTCACCACTGTCCCACTCCTCAGCCCTGTCCTGCTTCCTTTACTTCCTTTAACCTGAGAGAGCATTATTATAAGAAATTACATTCATAAGGATCTCTGTTACAGGTTCTGCTTCTAGGGAGCCTGACCTAAAATAAGAAGGTTCTCTTTGTAGAAATATTTCACCTAAAATCTCAAAGAGAGAAAAACAGAAACAGTATTTGCTTTCTCTTGGAAAAATCTGAATTGAAACTGAACCCAAATTCAAGCGAGCTTTTCTAGAATTAGTTAACATTTTATAAGAACTACAGAGTAAAGAGGTATGTGTTACTGATGACACCACTAAGACCCAGACTGTAGGAAAATACAGGACAAATGATGATTTCATCAATAAAAAAAAATGAAAATGAAATAAAAAAAGAAATTTAGGAAATATGGCAACCAATCAAAATTTGTGAATCTTATTTGGATCTTGATTCAAACAAACTGTTAAAAAAAACTACGACACAATTGGGTATTCGAACACAAGATTAGACATAAAACAATATTAAGGAATTGTGAATTATTAGATGTGACAACAGTATTGTGGTTATATGCTAAATAGAAGAGAACCCTTATCTTGTAGATATGTAATTTAAAATATTTATGCCTAAAGTGATATTATGTGTAGAATTTGCTTCAAATATTATCTTTAAGGTTGGGAAGCAGGTATGATAAAGATGAAATAAGATTGGCCATGAGTTGTTAACTGTGGAATCTGGGTGAATACTAGTCCATGGGTTTGCATTGTACTATTCGATTTTTCCGTATCTTCGAAATTTTTCATTAAAGTTAAGATAAAGTTAACATAAAGTATAAATAGTGTGTTTCTTAAAAACAAAAAAGGAACAGAACAGAAAGGTATTGAGAAGTATTAGAAAAAATCCACTGTGGGCCGGGCGCGGTGGCTCAAGCCTGTAATCCCAGCCCTTTGGGAGGCCGAGGCGGGTGGATCACGAGGTCGAGAGATCGAGACCATCCTGGTCAACATGGTGAAACCCCGTCTCTACTAAAAATACAAAACATTAGCTGGGCATGGTGGCTCGTGCCTGTAATCCCAGCTACTCAGGAGGCTGAGGCAGGAGAATTGCCTGAACCCAGGAGGCGGAGGTTGCAGTGAGCCGAGATCGCGCCATTGCACTCCAGCCTGGGTAACAAGAGTGAAACTCCGTCTCAAAAAAAAAAAAAAAAAAAAGAAAAAAAAAAAAGAAAAAAAAAAAAAGAAAAAATCCACTGTGCTTGACTCATTTCCTGTTTCCCCTAAAGGTCTGGTGCAGAGAAAAGGGTGAGCACTGATAAGGACCACGGTTTGGCATCGGGGTGGCCGGGACAGATGCTCTCTTTGTTTAATATTATGACATCTTGCTCGTCATAAATTTTCTTGGAATAATTTTGTTTTTTAAAATGTTGCATTAAAATGCTACTTTTCTTGACTAATGTGGAATTTTGCATCCCTTTAAATTCTGTGCCCGTGTCCTGGTAGGAGGAGGTGGCCAGAATCCTGGGATCCCAGAGCAGGGAGAAGCAAGTCTCCACAGAAGTGAGAATGGCCAACAGTTCCCTGAGACGGTACCTTTCTTCTTGGGCAGGCAGAGGAAGTTCCAAGAATACACAAAAGAGGAGAGTGGAAGGGCCGGCCAGGCTGGAGACATTAAGAAACTCTGGGTTCACGCCGGGCGCGGTGGCTCACGCCTGTAATCCCAGCACTTTGGGAGGCCGAGGCGGGTGGATCACGAGGTCAAGAGATCGAGGCCGTCCTGGTCAACATGGTGAAACGCCGTCTCCACTAAAAAGACAAAAAAGTAGCTGGGCGTGGTGGCGCGTGCCTGTAATCCCAGCTACTCAGGAGGCTGAGGCAGGAGAATTGCCTGAACCCAGGAGGCGGAGGTTGCGGTGAGCTGAAATCGCGCCTTTGCACTCCAGCCTGGGTAACAAGAGCGAAACTCCGCCTCAAAAAAAAAAAAGAAAAAGAAAAGAAAAGAAAAGAAACTCCGGGGCTGGCCTGAAAGCCCCGCCTGACTCGGGGCTGCAGGAGGGGGCGTGTGACGGGGGCGGAGCCGCTGGCGATGACAACAGCCCCACGTGACCTGCCAAGCGCGTCTGGTCTCGCTCTGGCGTCAGAGCCGCCGTCGCTCGCTCCCTTCTCGGCAGCGGTACCTGCTCCAGGTGGCCCTGAGGACCCCGAAAGTAGGAAGCGGAGGGGGAGCAGGTGAGGGACCCGGAGGGGATCCCCGGGGTTGGCGTCGGGGAGCGGCCCGGCCTGAGGATGACCCACCCGGGGGAGCCGCGCGGTGACGCAGCCGGCCCACCGTGAAGCAGACCCCGGGCCCCCCCGCCTTCCGTGAGCCGAGCGGTGCCCGGCCCCGCGGGAGCCGGCGGTCCTGCGGCGACGACCCTGCGGAAACACCTGCCTCCGCCACCTGCGCAAGCTTTTCCGACACCCCTGCCCCGCCCTTCTGGGTGCAGAAAATGGTGGTCAGCTTGGGGGGCGGGGCGGCTGGGGCGGGGGCGGGGGGCGGGGGGGGCGGTGGGAGGCGAGGCGAGGGCGGCGAGGAGCGCCGGGCCCGCGACGGGGGGGAAGGGGCTGTGTGGCGCGGGTCCTCGCTCGCGTTCCGCTGCAGCAGCCCCCGCTCCCCGCCCCCCGCCCTTCTGCAGGTCTGCGGGACTGAGTGTGGCTGCGGCGCACCTCGCGTCGAGAATCGGGAGGAGGAAGAGATCGCAGGGATAGGCCCAGGTCGGTGCGAGGGACGGTGGTGGGGCGGGGGTCGTCGGGACGTGAGGAAAGCCCAGTCTGAGACCCCAATCCATGCCTTCACCCCACACTTCTCAATCCTCCCCCTCCCCCGCCCCATCCTCGTCCTCCATTTTGGTGCCTGCAGAGGCCTGGAGATGGATCTGCAGGGAAGATGGTGGGCTTTGCCGGAGGGAGGGGCTTGGATTGGGGGCACTCCACAAGGTACACGGGGCTTCTCAGGTAGAAAAATGAAATGTTAAAACAGTACTAAGTCAAGTCCAGGGCTGTGAATTTTGGAAGGTGCCTAGTAGGGCCTCCGTCCTCAGTGCTGATCAGTCCACGAAGAAGTCAGCCCATTTTCTCTCTCTTGTCTCCTAGGAGTAATGGAGTCTAAAGAGGAACTAGCGGCACACAATCTCGACGGGAAAAATTCCCAACAAGAAAACGAAGGAGGGGAGCAGGTCGCCAAGCAGAATGAAGAAGAATCCCGCCATTCGGGAGTGGGTGAAGGGCAGAAGCCTGGAGGAAATATCAGACGGGGGCGAGTTAGGCGACTTGTCCCTAATTTTCGATGGGCCATACCTAATAGGCATAGTGAGCACAATGAAGCGAGAGATGATGTAGAAAGGTTTGTAGGGCAGATGATAGAAATCAAGAGAAAGACTAGGGAACAGCAGATAAGGCACTATATGCGCTTCCAAACTCCTGAACCTGACAACCATTATGACTTTTGCCTCATACCTTAAATCCTGAAGTTTTTCCTGAGGTTAAAAATGTGAACACTGCTTTACAAGCTTGTATTTTTGTGATTTACTTTTTCTGTAAGCCTTTTGGTGTTTCCACTTACCGGTTTCTAATGGAAATTACAATTCTAATTGAATATTGTTTTGCCTCAGCCTAAAAGTTACTGTTAGCATGGCAGCTTCACTCATTTTAGGAAAAATATTCTCTTCATAATATCATATGAAATGCATAAAGCAGTTCAAAAAGCAGTCTGTATTCCATCATCTTCCTCTTTCATTCCAGTTGCTATGTTTTGTAAATATTATTTTTCCTCTACCTGGACTCAGAATCTCACTTGTCTTGAGAATATTTTCTTGTTTCTGACCAAGAAAGAATGATCATACCCATAATTCAATGTCTGATTTTTAAGAATGTATGTTCTAGTGTTTTTCAGAGTGAGTCTACCATGTGTATAAAAACACCTTGGGGGCAGGGGACATTTGAGAATGTGGGACCTATTCTCCAAACTCACAGAGTGAGGCTCCAGAATCTCCATTTTTAACAAACTCTCTGAGTAATTCTGATGTGTACCAAAATCAGTGCCGTTGATGTGTGTGTATGTACCTGTATACATATGTGTGTGTGTATCATGTGTCATAAGCATAAAAAATAAAGAAACAATATCAAGGTGAATCTTTACCTGACTTTGGCGGGCAAGTAATTTAAAAAGAAAAGTATGAGACCTTACAATAGACTGATGATTATGGGAGTGGTAGGGACAGCAGCAAATTGGAGAGTATTCGTTGTACAGAACAAAGCGTGCCTGAAGATCACATTTAGTCTGAGGAACTCACAATTCATCACCTCTGTCAGTAGTTTCACATCCAGGATCTCATTTTATCCTTAACACAACCTATAAAGTCTGTATTGTTATACGCCTTTTATGGATGAGGGCCCTGGGGCTTAGAGATGTTAAGCACCCAGGGCTAAGCCCTGCTGTGTATCTTGCAGTAGGAGAATCCAGCCTGGGCCATTTTCTGTAGGACTTTATCATCTGGAGATGCAGAATATTTGACTTTTGTAACTTAATGACAAGCTGAGGAAGGTAAAAGAGACTCAGCAAGAATGTGGCTGTTTTTCAATACATTATTTTTCTATATCTCAAGTACAGACACTTTAATTTTTAGAATATTGAGGGATTAAAAAAAATAAGATCGGGCCGGGCGCGGTGGCTCAAGCCTGTAATCCCAGCACTTTGGGAGGCCGAGGCGGGTGGATCACAAGGTCGAGAGATCGAGACCATCCTGGTCAACATGGTGAAACCCCGTCTCTACTAAAAATACAAAAAATTAGTTGGGCATGGTGGCGCGTGCCTGTAATCCCAGCTACTCAGGAGGCTGAGGCAGGAGAATTGCTTGAACCCAGGAGGCGGAGGTTGCGGTGAGCCGAGATCGCCCCATTGTACTCCAGCCTGGGTAACAAGAGCGAAACTCCGTCTCAAAAAAAAAAAAAAAAAAAAAAAAAATTAAGATCGTCCAGTGTTGTTCAAAGTTAGGATTGCCACTATGGCTCTTGAAATCAGTTTTGTGGCTTACAACAAGCAATTTTTAAAAGTCAAACAAAACTCATCCTGTCACCCTTGAGTAGTGTTAAGAATTTTTTTTGAGAACTTAATGTGTTCTATGTAGTAAATATTGCCACTTTTAAGATGTATTTCTAACTAGATCACAGTGAAAAAAAATGAAAATTACTTATTCGGTGCAAACTTGGTTTCCAAAGTGAGGAATTGTTAAGAAAGGGATTTTCCTAAGGTCACACAGCCAATTAGTGAAAGAGCTGTGACCACACCCATGGCCTCAATTCTCACTTCAGGGTGCTTGTCTTCTCACCACATTGCCTCCACAAAGAATTATTTGGAAATTTTTACAGTATGTACTGATAGCCAGTGAGTGTAAATGGAAAAACATACAACTTAGGCAAAAATCACTTTATTTGAAGTTTACACTATTTAGTCATCAGAATTCCTGCATATTCAACTGAGAACCACATTTAAGGGAAAATCTGTGCCTTAGATAATTTTGGAGCTGGAGTTATCTTTCATCTGTCTGTAGGAAGAGGATGATATAGAGTCTGATCTGAAAATGCACAGTGGTGAAATCAGGCACTTAGTAAAGACTAGCTGACTGAGTGGAGTCCATGAATGATCTCAGTTCCTCTGAAAATCAGTACGATGCCTGCTAGCAACTACCAATTGCGGATTTCCCAAAGTAGCCTCAATCTCCCTCCTCCAGCCAAAAAAGCCAGAGGTGGGGGTGTGCGATCAGAACACGATTAGTTGAAAGAAAGCTGAAGCCTCGTCGTCACTGGGGTTTTTGGGGGAGGATGAGGAACAAGGATAGACTTTCTGGAAGAAGTAAGTGTCTGTGCTTGGTTCAGAATATGGTTTTTTGAAGTACCGAAATGACCCCTGTCTCTTTGGTGTTTCTGGGAGAGTGGGATGATAAGGACAGAATTTTCTGGAAGTGGTAAAAGTCAGGGAATGGGGTCACAATGTAATTGTAACTTAATGAGGGCTCCTACCTGGGAATTTCTCTGATAGTAGGGGATGAGTAGAGAACTTTAGAAGACATAAAGTTCAGTGACCAGAACATGATCAGAACATGATTGTTTGAAGAACTGAAGAAAACTCCCTTACCTCTGTGTTGCCACAAGGGTGAAGGAGTAAAGAGAGAACTTTCTAAGAATAGACGGGGCTGGATCAGAAGGTGATTGAAGAAGAGCAGAGCTATCACAGTGAATACGTCCGTTAATATATATCCTATGGGAGGGTCAACTTTCCTTGATATTGGTGGGCAATACATTTTGTCTTTTTAAGGTGATGACAGATAGATGTCAGTGAATGTCTCTAAGGAGACTACCGAGAAAATGAATCTTTTATAAAAACAAAGGAAATAAACCAAGAGTGAAGGAAGAAAGGCTACCACATTCATCCCTATCAGTGGTTTATACATTCATGTTTGTAAAATTTTAGTTTCTTGAGGAAAAATTGTTTGTTTTTATGGATTTTAGAGCAATGCTTTGGATGAATGTCTGGCAATTAATGCCTGTCAAATCTTCCAGAACTTAAGAGAAAGACTGACAAGACTTCTAAGGAGAGTCAGCCTAATCTTACACAGCAGCATATGCTGTTCATATCACAGAAATTAGAGCAATCACTGAGGAAGTCTTTAAAAAGGCCAGTGTTATGGACTGGATATTTGTGTCCCTCCTAAAATTAAAATGTTGAAAACCGAATTCCCAAGGTGATTGTATTAGAAAGCAGGGCTTTTGGGGGGTGATTAGGTCATTAGGGCAGAGCCCTCATGAATAGGATCAGTGCCCTTATAAAAGAGACCCCAGAGAATGCCTTCACCTTTTCTGTGAACCAGGAAGCAGGCCTTCATCAGACGGAATCTACCAACACCCAGTCTTGAACTTCACAGCTTTCAGAATTGTGAGAAATAAATTTCTGTTGTTATAAGCCACTCAGTTTATGATATTTTGTTATAGTAGCCCAAACAAGCCAGGAGAGACAGCAAGAAAAAAAAAGTGAACTTACAATAAAAAAAAAGGTAAAAACAAATAAACAATTCAAATGTAACAAGAATAAAATACCAGGACAGGGGATAAGATGGTCAATTAGATGTAGTCAGGAGGAACATTACCCATGGAGTGACAGAGCATCAGGAAGACTGGCACATTCCTAGCAGATCTTCAGAGGGAAGGCATTGAGAGCAGACAGAGGAGAGACACAGATGCTGCCCAGCGCAGGTACACCAGGACTCATTCCTAACTACTACTGGAGAAGGGGGCAGATGAACAGGAAAAGAGCAACCGACTCTGCCTGCAGGCCTTTGGAATCCTGGCAGAAGAACCTTGACCACCATGGACACTTGAATTGGCCGGGAGAGCTGTTCAGGGAAGTGGTAGGGGTGGAACTCCAGCTGTAGTGAAGGTCAGAGGGTTTGGTTCAGGAGCATCTGTAGTGGAGCATGGTCAGTGTTGCCCGTCCCACTAGGCTTGACTCACTCCTATAGGAGACTTTAGCCCTATGGGAACTGTAGGACCTGAACTCTGCGGGGCATTTTCCCAGGAGACAGAACGGTCTGACCTGAGCACTTCTCAGTCTGATGGTCTCTGGCGGGGCCCTAGCATAGCGACGCCTGCTTACAGTGCAGCCCCACGTACCTCCTGGGGATCACATCATAGCTCGGGTGCTGGCGGTCTCACCCAACCAGCAGAATGCCCAGTAGAGCAGACCCAGCTCACACGCACTAGGCCGCCTATACACTCCCCCAACTGTAGCCTCACCAGGTCGCTTTTGCCATATACAGTCGCCATGGCCACCCCCAACAACGCTTTGCCAGTGCATGTGCACTGGCAGGCTGACCTTGCCTTCCCTCCCCCGCCAGCGCGGGTGTTTCTGTGCACCAGGCCAGATCATTTTTGCCGGCGTGAGTGCGCCCCGCCCCCTCCTCCAACCACCATTGTTGTTTAAGAGTTGTCAAGCAGAAAGCCCACCAGCCCGGCCGGACCGATGCCCCACCCCTATGTGAGGAAACGGCCTCTAGGTGCGAAACTAAGCACAGAGAAAAGTGGACCCGCCCCTGCTGTAAGAGGCCACTGCCGCTAGCGGGACCGCTCACAAAGGGTGCAAACACCACCACCAGTGTGAACACGCATACAGTCGCCAGCTGGACCCTGTCCCCGCCCCGCCCCCACAGCCGTGCTGTCAATGCTGCGAAGGCCCGCACAGAGGCCAGCAACCCAGCACCCGTTAGTACCCTGTCGCAGCAGATGAATGTGCACCCCACCATGCTGCAGCTGCAGATGCTCCTACCACATAGGAAAGATAGATCCCACTGTCACCGCCCTAGGAAGTGCTTTGGCTGGCACCACCCATTGGAGTGTGATGACCAGCGGTCAGGGAACACTTCAGCCCTTCTAGCACAGCAGGTTCCTAACCTCAAAGAGCCAGAGAACAAAGTGGGAGCTGATATGTCTCCCAGAGTTACAGCACATAGTTCAGGAGTCCTGAGCTGAACCTTGCCCCCCTAAAATCTTCCAGAAATGAAACCAGTCAACTGAACCCACCTTACACCACAATGAAACCTCCAAGGTCATCAAATAGGCTAAAAGAAAAAAAAAATCCAAAAGACAGCAACTTCAAGGACTGAAGAAAGATCAGCATCTGGTTAAGGATTCTTAACCAGAATGAGATGGCTGAAATGATAAAAATGGAATTCAGAATATGGATAGGAGAGAAGATCACTGAGATCCAGGAGAATGTTGAAACCCAATCAAAGGAAGCTATGAGTCACAATTAAAAGATACAGGAGCTGACAAACAAAACAGCCAGTATAGAAAAAAATGTAACCAACCCAATAGAGCTGAAGATCACACTACAAGAATTTTATAAAGCAATTGCAAGCATTAACAGCAGAATAGACCAAGTTGGGGAAAGAATCTCAGAGCTTGATGACTGAGTTTCTGAAATAAGACAATCACATCAGAATAAAGAAAAACGAATGAAAAGGAGTGAACAAAAATTTCCATGAAATATGGGATTATATAAAGAGACTGAATCTACAACTCAACTGACATCTTTGAAAGAGATGGGAAAAATGGAAGCAACCTGGAAAACTTATTTCAGGATATCATCCAT